CGCCCCTCCCCTCCCCCCACTGCCCTGCACGCCGCACCCGAAGCTGAGGCAACGACCGCGCGCCCAAGACGTTGGTACCTCCGGGCGTGCGCCGCGCCGCGCCGCGCGGGCGTCGACGCCGCTGTTCCTAGTCGCTGTCAGAGGCGAATAGGTGCGGACTGGCATAGGCGGCTCAGGGCATCACCTGATGTCGCCGCAGTGCCTCTGACAGGGAGGTCTTACGGTGGAGTGCCGACGGTGGAGGCAGGATTTTCGACACTGGCCAAATAGCTGTGTTGAGTTCTGTCGCTGTGTGGAGGAGAGTTCTAGCGGCCGGCTGCTCTGATCGGTAGTTTTCCGTAGTTTTTTCGATCAACACCAAGCGAATGACGGAGTAGTTCCGTAACAAATGGGCCACATACCGCGCGCGATCTTTTCCTTGTGCTATCCTCACTTTTTTCTTACTCACACTTATACGCTTTACATTATCACACGTGCTGGGAGACCGATCTGGAACTAAGAGCTTACCCGACTGGACTGGGGCGGTGCCAAGCCGGTGAGAGATGCCAGGTTGGGGAAAAAATCTCAAGTCCACGTAGATCTGCACCGGATTTCCGTGGATGTCGGATGGGGAAGGTTACTGCAAACACCCACGATTAAAACGAGGATTAACGGGACTAATGTATTTTGCAATGGGCGCGCTCGGAATCTGTTACCAGTCAAGTAACCAATCTCAAACCAGCTGGGGCGACCCGAGGTATAATGGTTATGCCGTTCACCTTCCACCTCCGGGTACCTTTTTTAATTCCCGGTCGATCCGTGGAAATTTGTTGTGTTGACTGCGGGTTCGTAGCATATATTCTCGGGGTTTTCCCGTTTACTCTGTCATTCAAGTCATTAACAACTTTAACATCATTCGTTCTTGAAACCCATCAATCACTGTAAAGTCTTGGAACAGGCAATCATAATCATGATTGAATCTTTGATCAGAGCCATGCGCGGTACGAACGTGGCTGAGGGAGGTGGTTTACATCTTTCCTGTGCAGGATGTCCACTGGATGATGGTAGGAGTGATGATGAGATGATGGAGATATCTATTGAACCAGTCAACGAATTTTGATGATCGAAGAAAATAGTAGCAAGGGAGTTAGCAACAAACTTTCATATACGATACAACATTTTTCTGCCTGGAAGTTATATACAGAGAGCAACAAAGTGAATAAAATCAACATGGCAGACACTAACAAGGGAAAATATTCAGGAGACGTATGTTTTGAAAATACATATGCTTCCATCGCATACTTAGACTGCAAATTCTGGCGTCGCTGGTAGACCCTCTCCTTCTCCTCTTCCTCCTCCTCTTCGTTTATATTACTTCTCCACATGTGGAGATGGCAGTCGTAAGCCTCTCATCGCAAACAATTCAGCTTGAATTCAAACTCTAACGATCCACGTAGTTACCTGGGTATAGGAAAGAAAATTATGGACTTATATCCCATCGCGTAACTTCTGCCATTAATCATTTGATTTGATACGACACGAGAGAAAATTCCGACGAATAATAAACGATCAAATAATGAATGACATTCTCGTAAAAAGACAATTATTCTTTCGCTATTTACACCAGTCGTAAAGGTGCTTGATACTGAATGCGCTTCTAACGGACGCAGTAACGGATAGCTGGCGTGAGAGAAGGATTTGTATGCGCCACTGAAGGACTTCTTTGAACTTGCAATCTCCTCCTCGACGAAGTGTTGAAAAACACGCTAGCTCGTACGCTAATTTTTTTTAGCGGTCTGAATGTCATATCCGATGTTATTTGCGTTAACAATATACGCCCGGCGTGCTCGTTTCCGCTCGTTAGCTTGAGTTTCTCTTGTAGTCATGAGAAACAGCCGTGTCGGAGACGTACGAGACACTTCGCGAAGTTTGTTTTTCTCGTTTTCATAAAATGCAAAGATTGACTGCGTTGTAAGGCTCAAATTGCTGACACCACATCTTGTGAGAAACGAACTAAACAAGAAACAGCATAGTATGTTCTCAAAAGATAGTTTATCGTGCGGAGGTAGTTAACCGAAAAGTGTTTTTGTAATATAAACTGAGAACGTGCGGTTGTAGAAGTATGTTTGAAATTGAAATGTTTTATAGTGTATCATGAGTGATGTTGATAATAATAATAATAATAATAATAATAATAATAATAATAATAATAATCTTCCCCGTGGCGCAGACGATTTCCGCAGCCGTCGTCTGTGCCTAAAAGGCTGCAGGTTCGAGTCCTGCGGGTGTAGGCATGGTCGTATTTCTGATTATCCCTTCACCCCTCATTATCATCCTATCACCTTATAATTCACAATTCAAGGCGGAACACCCTGTCTTACCAGTAGATACTACTAAAAAACTGATCTTCATAGTAACATACGTTAGTCGTGTTGCGTGGCCAGAATTGGCAGATACGCAAACAATAATTATTATTATATGAAAACGGTGAAAAAGTAATCATGCAAGAAATCTTCAAAACCTGATTCAATGTGATCGCATTGAATACTAATAAGTTCAATAGTCTTTTCCGCGCAAGTTAAGTGTTATATAGAGGTGAAAATGGTAACGCCTCGTTATATAGATGCCTGTACTGAAAAGTTTATTTTAGCGAAACCTGTACCTGGTTCTGTCATATTTGCCCTCTTCCGCTACCTGCACACACTTTGCACTATGTTGAAAGATTCAGCCGTTCTGGCAGAGTTCTATGTTGATTTGAGTGCTTCATTACGGAGCTAACAATATTAGATCATGGAAAAATTGTCGGGACCAATAGAATTGGTGCTTCTCCAACATAGAAGGGAGCCGAAGTAGCTGGTGTTTTGGAAGCACAGTGTCCAAAATTGTCGAAGACCCTCATCCAAGACCCAATGCAAGACCTCATCCATGACGTCCGGTTAAAAAGCGATTCGGTTCAATTTCAGAGGAGACAAACGTTTGGTGATCGAGTCATACTACCTGCCAGTAGCTTAGTTGTGAAAAATAAAAAGTCAACAATTGCGACAATGACTGATGAACTGATATTCAACCAACAAACTCTGTCAGCTTCCAAAGTTTTCGATGCGAGCTGTACATAAATGTTGGCAAAGACTAATATTGTTCCTTGCTTTAGTCAGAATGGGCTTTTTTAAATCTTACGAGCCAGGAGTGCAGTTTCTCACGCTATTACATCGGCACGTCGTGATTGCCGCCGACGACCCAATGAGGATGTTCAATTACGTGTCGAAACCGCGCGTAGATCCACACTGAAAGGGAACGTCATGTGCACAACACTGTCCCGCCGCGTCACCCCGCCGGCCACCACCACCACCACCACTACCACCACCACCTCTAAAGCAATCACTACCACTGTTATTACCACCAACATTGCAATGTCTACTACCATCGTAACCACCAGCACCACCACTACAACCACCACCATCTTCTCGTTTTTTCCCCACAACCATTATCGCATTCACCATTACCCCTATTACTATGCCTTTACACAACGCCGCTGACGCCACTGTCATTGCCACTGCCTCATCGCCACTGCATACCCCCCCCCACGGCTTCCATCACTGCCGCCGTCCCCAGCATTCTCTACGGCTCTCCGCCGCCGCACCGCCTCGATCCCCGCCACCGCCATAGCCACCTCCTCCGCCCACGCCTACGACGCGGGCAGAGACCTTGCTTACGAAAGCGGCCAACACTCTCGTTTAATCGACGAGTGCAGCGTACATCATTTTTGGCGAAGCGTCGTGACACGGCGGTAGCGCCGCCTCGGCTAATTTTAACTCTATCGAGGCATCGGCGCGTCGTGCGGGCGGGGCGCGTTCGCTGGCGGCTCGGCGGCGGAAAGGTCGCGGCGAGGTACCTTCGCTTGATTTACGACGAAAACATTGCCGCGGGCCCGTGGGTGACGTGGCGCCGGAGCCATGAAGCAAGGGAAGGCCACTTTCTCGAAAACACGGAAAACCAGAAACAATTAGCGAATTGTGGTGTTGTGGAAAAATAAGGGAATTTGTAGATGAATCCTTAGGAGTCAGGGAACATTTTGAGGTGGGCATATAACTAAATGTTATTCCTTTATAAAATTGTACTTAATCACTGTGAAATCAGAAAGCTGACAAATTTGTATCACGCATCCTTTTTTTTTAATTTGCGTGAAAAAATAATACCGGTGTAAAATTAAAAATGTTCGGGAAGGCCGGAAAATGTTATTGCGTTCCAGCAAATGAGTGGCTATCCTGCATGAGACTAGTGGGTACTCCTACACGGTGGACGAATTTGTGTTTTGTCTGCACAGTCATGAAAATGGCGATTTCATTCAAATGTAAGTCTTTCTGTATTACTTTTCAGGGCTTCACAGGGTATTACCGTATTACTTTTCAAATGGAGTACGGGGTTCCATCTTCAGAACAGTCGATTACGACGATACGAAGAGATGCACATCCACTGAAACCTAAGTTCAATCAAATAGTATTTAAGTTCAAACAAATAACCCCTCTAACAACAATGAACATTTTATCAGGCGCAGGTGGAGTTATTATTTGTTGGGGTTTCATCGAGAATCTCTTATTTAATTACCCTGTACATTAAATATTCCTAATTTTAACTTGTGCAATGCAAGACGCGATGAACCGAAATATATTTGAAAGAACCTTTCATTACATCATTTGATCTAAGGGAAATCAGTGAAACCTAACCTTTATAATTATAATACCAATTAACAACCTTACAGATATTCGGACGTGGACGAATGTTTTTGCTGTGTTGGTGTTATTACATTATGGTGTGACTGATGGAGGGGGAAAGAGAAAAGGGCGATCGTCGAGAGAAGCTGTTGTGAACCCGTTTCGTCCCGACAAATACCACATGGATCGACTGGAATTTGAACTCTGTACATACAAGTGGATGGCAAGATATCAGATCACTACATCAAGGGCCGCCTTATAATATTACGGAACCCAAAGATGTGATACCAGCTTCGTACCCGCTCCTGCGAGTGCAAATGCAAGTCCGTGAACAGCATTGAAGCGAGGGCAGCGTACGGTGGCACTGGAGTTGGAAGATGGGAGACGCGAGAGTGGCGCGGGCGGCAAGTTCCAAAGGGGCTCCAGGATGTGGGTGCTTCACAGCTGTCGAAACTTCTCCGTGGCCGCTGCCGGCGAGGCCGGTGGGACTCGTCTCACTCCTGAGACGCGGGGTGGACGAGGAACTTACATCTCGTTGGAAAAGAAACAGTGTACACTCGTAGTGAACACTGTCTAAGAGTGTACATTATTTCTTTTCCAACGAGGTGTAAGTTCCGCGTCCACGCCGCGTCTCAGGTGTGAGACGAGTCCAACTCGCACTTTTAAAGTAATACTTTTTTAATTCGTACGTTAATAAAACTTCCTTTCACGCCACTGTTCATGCACCCCCCATAACCGTCAAGTGTGCATGTTTGTGGGCGGCTATGAGCTCGTAGTGGTTGAGAGGTTGGGGAAGCACAATATTATGCATTTGGATCGTTGAGAGAACGTTTCTTAATGGTCAGGGTCAGGAGCGGGACGAGAAATGTTCGAGGTAGACGGAATTCCGTGTCTTGATTATATACGTAAAGAGTAATGCGTCTAACTTTGATATCGTTTATGCAGTCCCCCAGTCCGTCGAAGAACTCATTTGAAAGACCATGGAGTGGCGCCTTACAAACTCCTGTCGATGAGCTGGTGTTTGTTGGAAGGGTAGGGGGATCTTTTTTTTTAAATTGTATATTGTGTTTGTTATCATTTCTTCACAGAATATCTGGCTTAGTAGGATTTCTCACCGTCTTTCGTTCAGGAATTTCGAAATTAGAAAATGAAAATGACTAAATCATTTGTTCAAGATCAAAACAAACACAACAAATTCGTATACATATGTATATTTCACTTAGTCAGTGTTTTTACGTTTCTTTTTAACTGCTTGGTCCTGTGGCAACCACTGTAATTTTTTACACAGGGGTAATTGTAAGGGAAACACATAAAGGGAACAACATCCATGCCCGGGGCGGGATTAGAACCCGCGACCCTTCGATCCGAGGCAGCCATGGGTCTTCAGTCTTGGCGACCTCGTCGATAA